CCAGGCCCGCGGCCGCCGGTCAGCTTGGATCCGCGCGTCTCCATCTACAGCGCTCGCCGCCCGCTGCTGGCGCGCACCCACGTCCAGGGCCGCGTCTACAACTTCCTCGAGCGCCCCACGGGCTGGAAGTGTTTCGTCTACCACTTCACTGTGTGAGTACCCGGGCCGGGGGTACCAGGGCCACTCTGCGTGTGCGTGGGGATGTCAGGGGTCACCGCCATCTGCTGCCCCCGTGGGAAAATTCAGGGACAAAACAAGCTCGTGGTGGATGGGCTGACCCCCTCAGGGTCCCTGCGTGCGACTGGGAGATGGGGTGTGAAAACAGCCGGCTCACGGGTGAGTGTGTGAGTGTGAAGCAGGTGCTTGCTCGAGTCCAGGACACCCCCACTCTTCCCTGAAGGCACAATCCAGGGGTGATTTTGGGGGGAGGTGGTGTCCGCCAAAGGGAAGGGTCTTGGTCTAGCTGGGACAGCAACATCCTGGGTCCAAGAAGGTGGCTAGTCCTGTGGGACGCCCTGGGGTCACTTGCTAATCAAACTCACAACCATGTGAATCCGGTGGATGCTGAGAACGGAGGGGTGGTTGTGGCTTAGGGCCCTCACTCAGCCAGACACAGGTGGGCCCAGGAGAAGGCGGGAGCCGCAGCACCTGGCCCTGAGGTTGCTGCCCAGGTGGCTCTGATTTGGGGCGTGGCTGGCTGAGGGCAGCTGAGGGCAGCCCTGCTGGTAGGAAATTCTGTCCCCTCCTTTCCCCTGTAGGGTCGGGCCTTTTGCCTTGGTCCCTGCCTGGAGCCCTGCCCCCTCCGCCCTGGTGGCTGTACTTCCTGGCTGCCTCTTGGTACCCTGCCAGCCTCTGGCATGTGGGTCCTAGCTGGGCCGGCCTCCTGGGTGCTGCCCGGGGTGGGCTTCTTGTTGAAGTGGGTTTGTCCCTGTGCTCGGCTGGGCCTGAGCAAGGACAGGCAGGGGAGAGGAAGCCACCAGGCTCCTGGGGTACAGCAAAAGCTGGGGTCCCAGTTGCGCCCCTGTGAGCATGTGTGGGGGTGGGGTGCTACCTCCTGAAGAGAACCTCCAGGACCCGAGGACAGGTCTTGGGGACCAGCGAGCTCCTCAGGCCCAGCCTAGCCATGGCCTTGAAGCCCCTTGTCCAGTCTCAGCTTGTACCTTCTGGAGTGGCCTCTGCACTGTGGGCTGGAGCTGCCTTGTTGAGGAGTGTTAGTGTCCAGTCACCCCAAAGGACCCACCCAAGTGGGTGTCAGGCCCAGGGCAGCCTTGTGGGTACAACTGTGTGCATGTCTCCCAGGTCCCAGAGTCCCTGAGAGGCCCAGGTGGACCCTGGAGAAGCGCTGGGTGGGTAAGCAGGGGCTACCAGTTAGATCTGTAACAGAGTACTAAGGTATCGGCTCAGCAGGGACCCCAAGAGGGTTGCTGCGGCAAGGGCCCCGCTGTTCTAGCTGGATGCGGTGGCCAGCTTCAGCTCTCTTGGAGGAAAAGGGTTAGGGACCACAGGAAGTCTGCTTACACTGTGTTTTCTTCCTGGCTTGGATTGTTTCACACTAGGAAGTAGGCTCGGGAGCAGGGCCAAGGCCAGGAGGACAACCTCTCGGCTTCCCTGGTGGAGTGGCCATGGGCCCACCATCTGCTAGCCGCCCCTGGGCACAACACCACACGGCCTTCTGGGTAAGGCTGGATGTAGGCTAGGGGACAGACCCCTAGACAGGGCAGGAGTCTTGTCTGGAGTCCTGGGGGGCTGTTCCTTACCCCAACATCCTTGGTTTCTGAAAGTCCATGGACGCTCTCTTGGGGCTGAGATCCGAGCAGGGCCAGCTGTAGCAGAGTGGACAGTATCTGGTGTCCCCTCCTGAAATGGGGTGTATGCTCCCCTCCTGCCGGTGACATGGGGTGGATGCCCCCTCCTGTTGGTGACATGGAGTGGGTGCCCTCCACCCCTCCTGCTGGTGACTTGGGGTGGACAGGGTCCACCATAGACTGTATGAGGCAGATAAAGGCTTCATCTTAGGGAATTGGGTGTGAAGGGGAGGATGCCGTCACTCTGCAGTCTCGGGTGACTTTTGAAGGAAGAGCTGCCTCCAAGGGACATGGCCCAGTGTGACTGCTGGTGGGGGAAAGTCCCCCAGACATAGTGGGAGCAAGCCAGGATGCCCTTCCCCCTGTGGGAGCCCTTGCCGATGTGACCTCTCCCCACCTCTGTTCGTTCCCTCAGTCCTCTGTGTCTTCTCCACCATTGGACAGCTGTGGGGAACTGCAGCTCTGGTGGAAAGGGGACCCTAGCCATGGGTGGACACCTGCCTGGTGCTGGCCCTGGAGTTTTAGATACTCCCTCGTGAGCCTGCGGCCAGGGACTGAGCTCAGGCCCCATTGGCCGGGCTGGAATGAAGCTGCTGCCAACCTCTGACCTCTGCCAGGTCCACTTCCGTCTGCTAAGGGGCAGGGGAGGCCCCCCGTGAGGGCTGCACTCCTCACTGACTCTCTTGAAGTCTCCTGTCCCGCCCTTGGTCCTGGCTCTCCCCAGATCTCAGGAACTTTCCGGTGGCTTTGGCGGCACCTTCATAGTCTGCGTTAATCATTCATGGTGCTAGTTCCTGGCGGCCCAGGTGGCTTCGTCCGCTCCAGGGCCTGGCCATGCCGACCGTGGAGTGAAGAGAACAGGGCACACAAAGAAGGCTGGGCTGGAGAGGATGGGGCTGCATGGGGTGTGGGGCAGTCTGGTGAGTCTCTTCTGCACATCTCCTTTCAGACTCCTCAGCCCACTGCCTCTGGGCGTGGTGCCCTGGCTGCCCAGAGACCCTCTCGTTGCCTCATTTATGTGGGGAGCTCCTAGTGAGGGTCTGTAATAGTTGGCGGTTACAGGTACCCTATAGGCCAGAGACTTCTGTCTGGGAGAGGATGTTGCCTGTTACCCCAGGGGGTTGGTGGGGGCGGTCAAGAATGCTCAGAGCCCCCGGTGTAACTGGGTACCCTGTGTACTGAGGAAGGGTCCATGCGGGGCAAGAGCCAGCCCTTTGATGACCTGGTCCAGGACGTGGGGGCTGGTGGGTGAGCATGCTCACAGCTGAGTATGCCTCATGGCTGGCTTCCTTGTCCGTGGCAGTCTCTTCACGGTCCTGGCACCTTTCTCGAATGCCAGAAAGAAGGTTTACCAGCCCCCAGCCCTGAGTCCATGATCTTCCCTATGCCCCTGAGTGAGGCTGGGGTGGGTGGAGGATGGGCAGTCCTGTCCACACTGGGGCTTCTGATGGCTTCAGGACCTCTACACCTAGCAGCACTGAGGGAGTGCCAGGCCCAGGGAGGGGCTGGATGTTTGACCTCAGGACCTGTGATGTCTCAGGTCTATCCGGGGCTGCTGGATGCTGGCAGGTGGATGTCCTTTCTCTGCCTGGCTCCTGGGTGGGCCCTAGATGTTAAAGGGACATTGTCACGGGAATGGCGCTGAGGGCAACAGTGTGGACTCAGGATGGGGCTGCATAGTTAGTGTCCCCTCTCTGTACTGGGGGCCTGTGAGTCAGCAGCAGATTGAGCCCTCAGGGTTAGGTCACCATCAGGTGACTTGTGTACAAGGAGCTGGTAAGTCCCAGCTTGTAGTAGAGACCCCCCATGACCACTATCACTGGTCCTCAGAGATGAGGCCCTGCCCATGGTAAGAGGCCTATGCTTCCTTACTCAGCCCTGCCCGTTGTCTACTGGCTTGCCCACTCAGGGACTCTGGCTATTGTCCTTTGGTGAATGCCCGCCCCCTGCCTTTTCAGGGACAGGGATGTGAGGGACCCCTTGGGTGCAGCATTGATGACCACCTCTGCCTCTCCTCAGGCCCCCTCCTGCCCCCAGAGCATCTGTCACATGGACAAGGTGTGAGGGGCCAGCCTCTTGCTCTTGGTCAAGCAAAGAAACACCTAGGGCTGCCACAGTGAGCACCAAGGCTTCCCCGTTGGCCTCCTTCCTCCTGACAGGGCACTGTGTCTTCTTGAGAACCAGCCTGGTGTGCCCTTGTCGGTGGGAACCTGGGGCCCAGGAGGGTGAGTGGTTGGGTCAAAGCCATGTGGCAGGCTTTGCTGTATTTTGGGCAAACCACACTTGACAGGTGAAACAGCACAAACATTCTTTGTGCTAAACCCACAAGCTTCGCCCAGTGCCAGTGTGGAAACTCATGTTTCCCCAAAGCTCCCAAGTCCTACCTACCCGGGTTCCAGGGACAGTGGAGGCTCTGAAGGGGTGACAGTGGGAGTAGGCACCCACCCCTGGTGAGCTCCCCAGATTTGACAAGGGTGGTCAAGCCATTGGCCTTGGAAGAATGGGTTCTAGGTGGACAAGCAGGCCACCTGCTCCTGACAGATTTCCAGGGTGACCATCTTGTTCCTGAAATAGACCGGGGAGCTCTGCCCTAGTGTGTGGATTTCCTGAGCTCACAGATAAGTCTGGGCTGACACTGGGCATGCTTGATCCTGCAGTGGGTGCTGGGTGGACTCGCTCCCTCTTGCCTCTGCCCCCACCAGTCCCACTACACCAGGCTCATCTTCACACAGGTACTGAGGTCAGATCTGGGTTCTCTCTGCCCCAGACAACATCTACTTCTGTTTGCTCAACTCCTGCCTCCAAGCTTTTGAAGGTTCAGGACTGTAAGCTTCTGTGGGATCAGAGAAAGGTCTTATACCATCTGAGACCCTGCATGATTAGATGTCCTAGAGGGATGAGTGGATAAACAGATAGAAATGGAAAGAGTGAGTGAGGAACAGGGTGGAAAAATGGATGGATGGGTGATGTGTGGTTGGAGGCAGGGAGGGAAGAAGGGAAAGATGGGTCATTGGTTGGATGGAAAGATGGAGCAGTGGGTAGAGATGGAGAAATGAGTGGACAGAGTGAAGATGGGGCAATGGAGGCACTGAAAGGATAATGAAGAGAGAGGAGGTTGAGTAGGTGGATGGATGGATGGATGATGAAGGGACAAGTTTGGGTAGGTGAATGGATAGATGGATGATGAAGGGAGAGGAGGTTGGGTAGGTGGATGGATGGATGAATGTGAAGGGAGAGAAGATTGAGTAGGTGGATGGATGGATGAATGTGAAGGGAGAGAAGATTGAGTAGGTGGATGGATGATGAAGAAAGAGAAGGTTGGGTAGATGGATGGATAGATGGATGAT